ATAACACTCGTCGGCAAACGTAAACTCGAGTTTAGTGCAGATCTTAATTGAGATTTCCTTTGGCCCTGGAAAGAGGTTAATATGAGGTCGCAAAATACTGGCTATTTGTGTGACAGTTTTGTATTGTTTGTAATTTCTTTTATAACATTTTGGATTGAAAATCGATTTTGACCTTAATGGCTTCCAATAGTAAACTGTGAAACATATGTATCCGGTAGATGACGCTGTTGGATTGGCGAAGGTAGTGGCTGACGTTTCGGGTTCGTTGCACCACCCATCGTCAGGACACACTAAAGTAGTTTGCGTATTCAAAGACGCGGTCTAGTGTGACCAAGATTTGACAATGTGTTACGGTAATTGTATTGAACAACAAAGCATAGGGTTAAAACCTTGTCCCCAGCATTTTCAGCTTCATTTAGTAAAAATCGTAAAATATATTACACAAGTAGTACCATCCTATTTTATCGAGCTGATTTAAGCTCTGGACGTAAGAAAGAGCTGAGAAGTGGGTTGGAGGCGCTCGCGGCTGTGCTGAGTGCTGAGGTCGTTATTCATCTTAGTTGACAACGACCAAACGACCAGAGCTGCAAACGGCGAATGTTAACTGAATCGTGTGATTTTTGTTAGTATACAATATTTGTGAAGTCCAATGTACTTTGACTAAATTATGCCATTGGTAAATCTTTGACTTGAGACACACTTACGGGAAATAGTCGTTTTGTCTCCATGTTGCTGTTTTGTGTTTCGCTGGCTAGTGTGTTTTATAAGGATGTAGTTTGATTGAGGCCCCATTAGAATGTGCTGCTGAAAAACCTCGTTTGTTAATGCGAGTTGCTTAGTGCCTAATTAGACAATGATAATCAATTGTTTCTTAATTAGATACAATTCCTCTTGTATTATCACAATTTGCAACACTGTGGCACACGATTTGTACACAAGCAAAGGCCACTCTAATTGTTAACTTTTCCTTAAATGTTTCCCTAAATTGATAACTATTTCAATAAAAAAGTAAGTTGTAAAAATATTATTGTATTTTATTATTAAGTTTTTAGCATGGACTAATAAAAAAAACGATGTTGAACTAACACTGTTACTAATTCAAATGGAACGCAATGAAATCTGCAAATCATAAACTCTTGCGTAACAAAATCTTGTCTTGTTAGATAAGCTGTTCATGTACAACGTACTAAACATTTTGTATCCATCCATAATCTACCCAATACAAATTCAATCTGATAAAGAGCGATAAAAGAGACTTATGTGCGTTATGAAAGTTTCGAAAACTCCTAAAGAAAGTTTAACTATCCGACATGATGGTGTCATAAAGTCGCCATAAAACATATTGACATTTATTTGCGCAAGATGCGCAAGTCCTCCTTATTGCGAATATTTCGATGTCTTCTTCTAACGTGAAATTGCTAAAGGGTTGTCGAGTTGTGCATGTATAAGTCAATTTGTTTATACATTTATTAGTTGGTTTATTGTATTGAATGATACGTATGAACTAAACAATAATTCTTGGGGGTTCATAATAGCTCAATAGTTTGGACTCATAATAGTTTTATTTGGATTTAATTTTTTTAACGCTCTTAAACCCTTTTGTAGATTAATGGTGATAAAAAATTACCTAAAACAAAAATAGTCAAATAATACTTGTAAATTATACAATTTACACTTATACCGTTTACTAGACGGTTAGTAGATGTAAAAGATGGTAAGTGGGGATTGATTTCGATTGGACACTCCAATCATCATCAGACCCAATAGACCAGTGTCATGAATGATTCTTCTATTGGGTCTGATGATGTTTGGAGTTTGGGGTGTCTGATGATTTGATTATGCATTGAAATCAATCACCACTTTATAATTTGTTTATGTTTTTACCGTTTTGTGAGTAAACAGTACAAGTGTAAATACATTATTACCAGTGTTATTTCACTATTTTATGTACTTTCAGATAATTTGAGAACACGTGTACGATGCTGATCAAGAAGTTATTCTAAAACACAATACTACATTTTTCAAATAGTATGAATACATTTTACTTTACAAAATTACTAGGTAATCAATTTAATACATGAAAAGGCACATTCTAAAATTCACCCTAGTTACACTGGCTCTTATTTAATTTGTTGTTAGAAATTTTTTAAGAAAATTATTTTCCTTAGCTACTTTTAATTTGAAATTGAATGTTTAAAGAGAATGAAGTCCAAGGCAATAAAACAGCGTAATCTAACTGAAGCCTATAAAATCACGAGTCGTTTACGTGTTTGGAGTTAATGACAATGGACGGCTGAGTTTTACCCAACTAGAGTTTAAATCACTTTTCCGGGTCTATTTTATGCAGCGTATTTTTATTTGTTAGAATACTGTATTACATTTTCCCGATTCAATGCAATTTTTGTACAAATTATGCAATAAGCTACGACGGTTTAAACAATGTTTTAGAATTTGAATGTATTATTTGAGAGTTTTAATTATTTTGTTCGCCAAGATTTAGCCTATTTTTGTAAAATATTGTCGGTAACACATTTTTTTGATATCGTACATTACCATTTCTGTTCTTAGTAATTGTATATTGACCAGCACTTCATTGGGCAAAAACAGTTTATTTAATGTTTTTCGTCGGTTTAAGAGTCCTTTCTTTTCAAAATACCTATATAGTACAACTACAGTACCTTTAAAGTTCGAACAAGTAACGGATGAATATTGAAGTTAACGAATAATAAAATATTTGTATTAACTGTAACTGTTTGATCAAATTTGTAAACCTAGCTTTCATTTACACGGCGATAAAATTACAATCAAGAATCAACGTTTTGGATGTACTTTGTTTTCTTTTCTATACAATATTGATTTCCACCTTTCCCCTCATAAACTCATTCCTTGGTAAAAAAACCGGACTAATCTTAACTATGTCGAAAGTAGAAAGGATTGAAGATTTATTTATTTAAATAAATAAGATGTATGTCACTTTTCATCACGTTAACGTATTGCCTACTGCAAAAGTTATCGTATGCTTAAACTGGTTATAGTTTTAGCTTCATGTTATTATAGTTATATCCTGATTATCATATGTAAATCCAAATTACGTTTTAGCTCGTCGTTATCGTCAAAGATACAAGACAAGACATCGCAAAGAACCCCGTTAACGATAATCGTAACATCAGGTACTTCATAGGAAATGCACTGGTTGTTTCTTGTATTATGACATCGTTCGGTTTGTAAGTTTCAATATCTGTGTTCGCCCCGTTTATAATTTTCAATCTTTCCACATTGTACCGCTTACGAGTTTCAATTTGTTGACATTGTACCTTGGTTTATAAGTTTGGATTTTCAATTAGTTGGCATAGTTGAAAGAGTAAATTTCGTTATGTCGTTCAATTGTTTCTAATGCCATAAAAGGTATATAACACATATTTAACACCAAGTCTAGATCAATATAGTGAGTTTGCAGTAAAAAAACCGAATACATAAATGCAGTATAATATGATAGGTCTTCATATCTTATGGCAGGCAAACCTAAAACAAGACGTACAAATATTACAATGTCTCCTTATAATATTTACGATATACTGTACTGTACTGTACTGTATGTACTGTACTGAGTAATAAAAACATTAGGTTTAGTTTAAAAATAGTTATACTTACTGTATGTTACTTGTTTGGAATATGTTATTGAGGAATTGAAATTTTGGTGGAAAATTTGATTAAATTAGTTTTTCATCAAGCAATTTATTTTAACATTTAGGTTAATAAAAACATAATGTTCAGCAAGCCCTAGAGAAGATTTTATTTCCAGTTTAGTTAATCAACAGATAATAAGGAAGTTGATTAAGACTCTTTCCCGACACATTGTTGGAAACTGCTGAATTCATTTAAAATCAGTCTTAACATAAGAAAATCTAAGTTCCAATATGGCACGAGCCATAATGCAACCAATAACTATTGTATTTAGACTATTGTATTAGATTAACAAAACTAGTTTCTTTTCTCTTTGTCGTAAATCACGTGTGTTCCAAGACTCGCGTGGGACCAGCGCGCAGTAAAGAGTTTACATGCCGTTGTATTTCCTCTGGTTTATGGTATATTTTATGGCTACAATATCTGACATCTTTCTTTCCTCATTTCATCTTGGCTTGTTTCCTTCATGAGCCGTTATAAAGAAACTAGTTGTGCAACCGCAACAAAATGTCTGCATGGTTTGCTTATGTCTTAAGATTCAATATATCGTAATTTTTTGAAGTAATGAATTTTCTTATGTTACATTTTGTTTGAATTTATACATTTGAACTCTATCTTAGTTAAAGTTTTGTAAATGCTTAATTTTACATCATCGAAACTTCACTATTATTTTAAGAATATTACCCTAGTTTATCAATTTATATCCCTTGGGAGCTTTTACTTCGTTTTACTGTCCTGGAAGAGGCAGCTCGTTTTGAGGTTTATATGAAGTTTTTATTTGTAAAAATTTTTTTGCGGATTCTTCAAAAGAAAAATGGATAATGCGGTGGACTACAATATATTGCATCTAAGAAGATATGTTTACATGAACGTCTTTAATGAAACATTTTATGGTAGATTGAAGAAATTTAACACTGTATACCTTTAAAAATTAAGTAATTATTTATTTAGATGAGTTTTTGGGATCACTACTACAACAATGCATTAATATAATAGATTGTAAATATTCTATTCGGTTTGAAGGTAAAGAGAAATAGGCTAAATAAACGTAATAGAATAAATGCAATGTAATAAATAAATCATATTCTACATTTTATCTGCTCAATATTGCCAGTAATCAAGATGAATTAAATCACGCACTATTCCTCACAATGCTCCTTTTTGTTAAAGCTTTACATAATTCATACATGTCTAAAAGTATAATGCAATGATAGCATGAATAAAAGATAGCTCAATGCTAAACAAGTGTCCAGTAGGAAAACAACTTGACTATTCTTCCTTATACAATGACAAACTAGCATTTGAAATTTTGTACGTTTTTTTTTAATTCCTTCCAAAATTTATTTATTAATGAATTATAGTTATGTTTTAGGATACGAAGTGCACAAAATGGTTGTACGCATATTTTTGTGGCTTTTGTACCGACACTTCTTTGTTAGGTATATAAGCAATGTAGTAAGTAATGTAGTAGGTATTTTACTTTGTAGTAATTAACAAATACTTATAAGTCATGTACCTTGTTTAGAAAGTTTGTTAAGCTACGTCAATAAACCCTTCCATTCAGACAAATGTCCTCCAAATGAGTGAAAGGGTGTTGAAATTAGTTACTAGTTTACACTGAACAAAATTTTGATGTCCAACCATCTATCGTTGGTCTATTTCTTGCGTCTTTTGCTTCTTTTTCTCTTGTTTCCTTATCGTGAGCTCGGACAGCTCGATTTGAATGTCCTCCAGAGTTCGGTCCTTGGTTTCTATGACGACGGCCAGGGAGAAATATACGCCGAAGAGGCAGCTGACGCTGAATACGGCGTAGCTGACGTAGAACCCTGCGAGCTCGCCGATGTTGAAGTACGTCTTGTTGGTGATGAAGGAGGTTAAGAAGCCGGTAGCAGTAGTGACACCTGAGGCGAGACCACGGGTGTTGGATGGGAACATCTCTCCCTGTGAGACACATTACATTGCTTTACACTTTGAAAAATAACAGACTGTGACAGCCTAATAGTTTGGAAGTGCACGTATGCTCTCGTTTTAACGTGCGACAGTTTTGTGACCACGGTGTTCAACCTTTTAGATACTAATACTAACACATTCCTTTCACTGAGAACAGACTAGAGTCCGAAATCACTAGAACCACTGCATCAAATCCGAAATGTCGGCAATTGGAACATCGTCAATTCCATAAGCGGTCATTACTTAAGGACCAAAATTTATTGAAACCTTTATGAACCGACAGTGGAAGCCTTAAAGAGTTGGACCGTACATCTTGTGAGAAAACAAGTTTAGAGTGCAGTAAACAACCAACCTGTATCATAGGAGGAATGCATCCCAGACCGATGGGATAGAAGATGCTGAAAATCATGAAGCTGAGCAATGGAAACCAAGCGATGCTCATGGCGTCATAGGAAGTGTTGCTGTCGAGATAGAACCATCCAGCGACCATAGCGTGACCAAGGGCGCAACCGAGGCAGGACACGACTAGTAGTATCCGTCGACCTGTCTGGAAACAGCAAAGATATACTTGTAAACTCGAAAAAGCCTAGGAAAATATTTCGTCAAGTCTTAAGAGTTGGATAGTAATCTAAACTACGATTTCAAGACTTACCCAGTTAACGAGGAACGTTGAAGCAAACCCGAACACAATCCAGGTGAAGCACAAGAGCATGGCGCTGTCGTCTGACGTGAAGCCGCCAATCGGCGGTATCGCTTCTGAGGCGTACGCCATCACCACGCCGATACCAGACATACGCTGCAGCACGGCCAGCATCTCAGCTATCAGCAGCGCCTTGCGGTTGCCAGCCGTGGACACCAGGTTCTTCAGACGACCTTTGTTCTGCATGTCAGCTAACACCGCCTTCTCGATCACCGACAGGTCGTTTTCTATCTAGGGGTTGCCAACTCTGAGGATTAGTGTACAGTGCGAACCTGCATAAAGCTAATATTGGCTTATAAATTCTCAAAGGTTTGTGTACTTTATTCAATGCTGCTGGACCTGTTTATGATTGATATCAATGTTTGGCTTTAAGTTGTGAAAATTATACTTACTTAATTAGGTGATTTGGCTTCCTAATGCCATTACAAAGTGTTCTCCTTCTGTCACTATTCGTCACGTATACGTGCAACGATTCTTAATTTTTCACTCTCTCTACTTGGTCTTAGATGATATGTTTTGCAAACATCGTACTTTGTTAAGGGATTTCGATTTCTGAAAGCTACTGTCATCCCAGGTCGTATTTGGCCACCTTTCTTAAAGTAGAAATATATGGATATTGAATATCTTACTCTTCACTATTTGACGTAAAGTTATGACGATTTGTTTTGCAAATTACTTACTTCATTTGGTGACTCGGCGCTTCGAAGCCACGCTAGAGTCTTTCCAGCACGTTCCCTATCATTTTTCATCAGGTAGAAATAAGGCGATTCTGGTATGAAGAACAGGAGTAGGAAGAAAGCAGCGGGAACACAAGCAGATATGTAGGCAAGCTCAGTGTACGAGACTTTCGGCCCTGGGCATAAAATACATGTTGTTAATGGTACAGTTACACAGATTGCATTAGCTCACTGTAGTTGTATTGATATAGAATTTTACATAGGCCTAACGTAACGTTTTGTGAATGTAGCAAATTTAGAAAAACGTTTTTCTGATTCTTTTGAGCCATAGCCCTTACATATTTTTGTAGGAAAGAAATGAACCTACGGAAATATATAAATTGTCCCTTTAACTTCAGGATAAACGTTCTCTTCAAGAATCAGAATAAAATTTTATTTGTGAAATGAAAGTAAAACAAGCTCCTGTCACACGTACCTATGCAATACTCGAACATGATGCCCATGTAGGCGATCAACATGAAGAGTGTGTTGAGAGCCCCGCGTACTTCTGGTTCTGCTATTTCACACAGGTAGATTGGCAAAACGGTGTAGGCGGTGCCTCCCCACACGCCGCCGAGGAACCTAATGTTGAATAGGTGATGTAAAATGACTGTAAAAGGGTAAGTAAAATATGTTTGTTCCAAGGTATACACAGATTAGAAGTACAGTACTTAGGATGAATTTCACAAAGCCTGTAAAACATTCTACGAGCGATTCTTAAGGAACAGGTTAAATTATTATTGATTTGATGATAAAGTCTGTCAGTATTTCGTACGGTTAGTTGCATTTGCATCTTGTGCTCCTTACATACTAACACGAAATTTGTCAAAAAATATCCCCTAGTATGCTGTATGCTTAGGGTAGAGTCTATGTATACAACTTACCGTGCGATGTAGACACCCGTGGGACTCTTGACTGTGGCGAGTATAATCCATGAGGCCAGGGCGACTGAGGTGAGCATCATGAGTGTGAGGCGACGTCCTAGACAGTTCATGAGCCACCCGGCGGCTACGGGACTCACGGTGGACCCTATGTAGACCACTGCCACCATCCATGAGATTTGGTCTTCAGTCATGAAGACTTCGGAGTCTGGTGTTGTCATGTGTTCCATCGCTGGTGATGGCCAGCCGGAGTACATCCCAATCATGAATAGAGCAATGGTTGCTGAGGAGTTTTAAAATAAGATTAGTAAGTTTTTAAAGTTTCCCATCCGAAATTTATGCTTTACATGGAAACTTATAAAACCTAATGGGAAGTGGAAATGTTTGTAGATTTTCATGTGGTTAACCTGAGTGGACTATGAGAAATGTATCCTAGATAAGACAATTAGAAGATTAGAATACATACTTAGTGTTCATACCTACAAGTTGAGGGCCTACAAGGCACGTGCCATCTTAAGTGATTCATAAGCCTGCGAGTACTGTAGGAAACTGATTGGCTCTCGCACACTCATTGTTTGCCATGAATGGAAGACGATATAAGGAAGCCGTGGAGTTGGAACCGGAAAGAGGTAACCACTGAACCCTTGTCTTATTGTCGGTAGAAAGCGAAGGAAATGGAATACATCAATGAGGTGTCTGACGTTCATAGTGAGAAGAAAAGGGGAGAATGGCGATGATGATTGTTGATGATGGTATAATCCGAAAGCACTAGCACCTTAGGACATATAATAGAATATAATAGAATAACGTGTCCTGACCTAATGAAATGCGATCCTAAGTATACTAATAATTAATCCAGAAAGAACCATGATGTAGGAGGAGATTACACGTGTAAGTCTATTTATTAATCATGACTTTTCTCAATAAAGAAGAATTGATCTTTTAGATGAAGGAAGTTGTAACCCTTACTTGCTATTTAAACTGGGCAACTGTATTTTCTATTTTGACAGAAATGTCAAAACTTCCAGATATATTTTATACTTAAATTTTCAATTTCATCATATTGTTCAGCTTAGTTGTTGTGCTGGTTCATGATATTTTTATGTTCTCATCAAATATTTACCAGGAGCTTGAAATTAAATTCTTGTTGTTGGTCCATTTATTTTTATTTCTACACTTATCACCTTTAACTAATGTTTAGATGTTATGGATAGAGAGAGTTCCTCGTAAAACTTTGCGTTAGAAATATTTAACATTTTCCAATTATTTACATTTTCCAATCTGTTTGTTACTCCTGAAGTACCTTTATTTTGTTTAGTCCCTGTCTTGGTATTGGCCAACGTCCTCTTTTAGCATTGTCAGTAACGTTGTGTATATTGATAATTTTATAGAGCAATAATCTATGTGCGGTTAGGCTTTTACCAATCCCTAGACTCTAGAGGGCTAAGATTTATACATTTACACCTTCAAACTATAAGAACGGGATCGGATTTAAAAGTAATATTAGTTAACAAAGGCAGTATATATTATCAACATTTGAAAATTAATACTCACATATGATTGCAGCCATCCACTGTCGATGGAATTTCTTTTTCTCCTCCATCTGCGCAGGAGAAATAATAACGCACTTTTGTGTTTCAAAGGTTACTCAGGCCGTACGTGATCCCCCTCCCCCCAAATATCCTTGTGAAGTTCTGGTACCTAAGTAATGGAGCTAGATGTATTAGAGACATCATTTAAATATGCATATTATGCTTGGTTATTATAATTTCCTAGAGTATAACGTCTCTTAGGTAGGCGTTCCGAGGTTTAAATATGAATTTACCATCTTATTTTCAGAACTGTTGGGATTTTGAATAGGAGTAAATCTTTTTACGAAATACAACCCGTACAAATTAGTGTTAATTTACTGATCCAATAGTGATTCAAATATCCTAATCATGTTTTTGTTGTTGCAGGTATGGACTTTAAGAACATTTAGAAGCACTTGAACCATCATGGTAAGCTTGTTGTTAAAAAACACGAAATATTGTATCATTTTATGCTTTCGTGTTTTTTTCCAAGTCATATTTTGTATCAATCTCGTTTCAAAAAAAATATTGATTCATTTCGTAGTACAGTATTTCAGGTATAGATAAGACGAATTCAATGCACGATGTAGGGAAGTTCTGTGTGCAAGAGAACTTTCCTGCATAAAGTGCATGAGATAAAACTGTGTCAGACTTGCCGGAGATAGAGGAACTTGTCTTGTTTGTATGAAATGTCACGGGAGTTGTGCAAAACTATGGCTCACGTGTTAATAGTTGTTGAAAGACAATGTTAGAACTTTTTAAGAGTCTCTTTTACCTTTGAAATGTTTGTTATCAGTACGCAAGTTCTGTAGGCATCTTTCATACATATTTTCAAAAACTTGGTACTTCATTTTGGATTTAAGTTTATATCATTGGAACTTTGTGAAAACTTTCTATATTGACGTGTACAACATTCCCTTTGCCAGCAAATGACCTATTTCCTCAGTACATGTTATTATGTACAGGTTAATTCCACTAATTAAAATCGTTTTTGAAAATAGAAAGTGTTTCTCATAGTTAAGTAAGCCGTAGACAAATTGTGTTGGACTATTGGATTTGATAACGACTATGCTATACATTACATTTCATTACAGGTGGTTACAATTATGCAAGTGCAGACGATTACAAAGTATGCACGCCCTAGGTCTACGTCAGTGATGATTATGTAAGGCACTATCAGCTGGAGCTGTATTTACTTTGATTGAAGATTTTCTTTTAATTTGGTGATGAGAACGTGTTAGAAAATTTAGTTATTGTGACTGGAGATTTTATGTGTCATTTTTTTTGCACAAAAAGTCTATGAGACCTTTAAGCTCTGAGAGCCTTGTATGATAATTAGAAACACAAGCAAACGTTGTGCCACGTTTAAAAATGCTATTCTGAAAAATAATACAATTCAGCATAAAACATGGGTTTTAAATATAAAGAATCCTAGAGCAGTAGAAAATAATTGTATATTTCATCACTAGGGCCTAAAGTGACTCTTTTCGACACATACGTAAATATGTGTTTTCGTGCGTTGCAGGTATAAGATAGCCTTTTTACTCGATAGGGAGTAAAAATCAGCTGTTGCCAACTCAGTGCTAAATTTTGATTGTAAAAGTTGTGTGTATCGATTGCTCAATGGATTTTAGTGAATTGTTGTCTTATCCTACTAATATTATAAATGAGAAAGTTTGGATGTATGGATGTATGGATGTATGGATGTATGTTTGTGACAAGTGAACGCGAAAAATACTGGTCGGATTGGGCTGAAATTTGGCATGATGATAGCTCACATTCCCGATTAACATATAGGCATATTCTTATTTCAAAAATCCTTTCGGGCTCCGCCCCAGTGGCTCTGGAGTTTCCCATGTTAACCTTATGAGAAATGAAATTATTGAATCTTAACAGCTGTTTCAATTAAACAAGTTGGTTCTGTTCTGTGATGTTCAATAGCATTAAAGTTACAAAAATTACCAACAGGGTGCAGCACTATTATTTCTTTTACATTTATGACAACAGCTAATTTGCAACCAAAAGGTGAGTGAGCGTAGCGAACGAACTTCAACCTGGAGGCGAGTTAGCGTAGAGAACGAGCTAACCTGAAGGCAAGTGAGCGCAGCGAACGAGCTCCAACCTAAAGGTGAGTGAGCGTAGCGAACGAGCTCCAACCTAAAGGTGAGTGAGCGTAGCGAACAAACTTCATCCAGGACGTGATTGAGCCATGCGAACGAGATAATCTTGAAAATTAAGAAGTTAAACGGGACAAAGCCCGCGGGTTACAGCTAGTTGTAAATAGTTCGACATATCGATAGTATAATGTTCACGAACACAATTGTAATAGATGAAACTATTGAATCAATTACTAAACAGCAAAGTTAAATTGAAAACAAGATAGTGAGAGGTTTTCTTTAAATGAGAACTTTTTCAGTTTGGTAACTTAGTTTGTTTAAATAATGGTGCAATTTCACGAATATCATAGTTCATCATATGGGCAAAAAATGTCTTTTCAACCCTCGCTCGTAAAACTTGAGCTTGGGTCGAAATAGTCACTTTAGGCCCTAGTGATGAAATATGCTATTACTGCAGCAACAGGATTAGAGGGTCGTAAACAGCTGATTTCACTGTAGTTGCCATTCAATCTTTATCACTGTAAATCCTACTTCCATTATAAAGGTCAAAGTAATTATGTCATTGTAATACAAACATATCAAGAGTATTGCGATAAATCCCTTGATAGCCGTAAGATATATAAGAAATTTAAATATAAATGGCATGATTGTCTGTGCTGGCAGATGATTTCTTACCAATCCAATACTGCCCGTTGTGACAAATGAAATAAGAGGATATTAGATAAAAAAATTATGATTCTAAGTCGAACGAAATATGACAGAAGCTGAATTTTGATCATAAACATTATGTAGGTTGGTCTAAAAGGAGTAGTCTGAAAATTTTTGAATAGTTCTTTAGGGGAGGATGGTTAGCTTTGTAATCTATATTATTTTACAAAACAAATGCACGTATGACCTATGATATTTAATGAACCTATGTCCTTTTTATTAAAAATAATATCAGTAATGTATTTATATACATGACTGGGTTTATAAACGTAAATGTATGTTTTTATTTAAATTAATACAAGCACATTACGATTATTTGTGATTGTAGTTTGTGATGAAACAAATCAACATAGTGAAATATGGATAATTTTGCAGAAACAATTTAGACAGGTTTTTTGATTTGTATGAATTCAAAGATAACTTAATGCATGGCATTTATATTTTCACTGGGTAATTTAAAATTTTAAAAACAAGAAAATCATTAAAGCAATACCTGAACGGACGTGTAGATATCACAAATTCAGTATAAAAAACAGTTCCTAAAACGAGCAAGAAAAAACTCGTTATTAAATGGCAGAAACTTGTGCTAGCAATCCTCAGTTACTATTCCGAATAGAATAGACTCGAAGTTAAAAAAAAAAAAAATTGAAACGTAGGCTACTCTAATGCGCGAGACTATTATATGTCGACAGCTGGGATGGCTGGAACGCGCACCACTACAGCTGGTACAGTACAACATGAGGTTTGATATTGCCCCACCTAGACAGAGTGCGACTACGATGTAATTACTCATGTATTAACTCATTAAACTGCTGTGAAATGTTGATTTAAGTATGTAAAGCGTTATGCTGGTTTCGTACTATCGGGGCATTGCGGGCGGGGCCTTTGAATAACCCTACTTCTGCCTTTAATTTACTGATTTTCCTGGATTCTGAAATAATAAATTTTGACGGATTGAAAAAGACTATGAAATAATTTTATTGAACTTGATTTAAATAATAATTATTTAGTACTCTTACACATTTATTTAGGAATACTTTTTGTGCATAGTATTACTTTTATGATATACTAGCTGTGTACCCGTTCTACGCACGGGGATCTTATAATATTCAGTTGAAACCTTCTTATATAAAGAACAGCAGTTGGTTTGCATATTTTAAGATATGCTGGCCAAACTATTATACATAGCTTCATTTTATGTTGTTTTTTGTTGTTCCGGATCGGTATGACAATCAATAAAAGGTTAAATTACCTCTGTGTCTGCCGGTCGATCCTATAACGGTAGGCTTACTTTTATTTTTACTATCTGATCTCGTTTGCATGGCTCAATCACGTCCTGGTTGAAGTTCGTTCGCTACGCTCACTCACCTGTATGTTGGAGCTCGTTCGCTGCGCTCACTTTCCTTCAGGTTAGCTCGTTCGCTACGCTCACTTGCCTTCAGGTTAGCTCGTTCGCTACGCTCACTCGCCTCCAGGTTGCAAATTAGCTGTTGTCATAAATGTAAAAGAAATAATAGTGCTAGTGCTGCACCCTGTTGGTAATCCTTGTAACTTTAATGCTATTGAACATCACAGAACAGAACCAACTTGTTTAATTGAAACAGCTGTTAAGATTCAATAATTTCATTTCTCATAAGGTTAACATGGGCTTCCAGAAATTCCACGTCAAAAATCGACAAAAACTTGATTTTCAAGGGTTTACTGTTAAATATCTAACTGTCTCATATTCGATGAAATACGTCTAAAACCATCTCATATATGTATAGTATTTGGAAAATAAGTTTCAGGCGGGACAGTGCTATAGTTATTGAGGAGTAGTTGTAATAAAGTGCGTATTTTAGCGTTACCAAGAGAATGACAGATAGACAGACAGACAGACAGACAGACAGACAGACAGAAATTGAGATAAGGTTTGATTCGGTTTCTCTGACCTATGAAATGTAAAAATAACCAAAAAGTTCATTATTCTAAGCAATGTACAGACAAAACTCTAATTTTATTTATATAGATTATGGCTGACAAAAACCTTTTCATAAAAGTATCTCGAGAGATATACTACAATGGCTCCTAAGAATATGTATAATGTAGCTTGCTGAGACATAAAACATATTAGGTTGGTTTTTATTGTTATTAGTTATAATTATATTCCATGTGTATGAAGATACACACCTAACATGTATAGACAATCTGATTTGAAAGAGTTTTTCTATCTATTCAGTAGCCCACTTTAAAGATTTTATTAGCAGTTACTTGTTCAGTCACTAAACCCTGTTATTGAGACAAATTTCCTGCAAATGAGTGAACAGGAGTTGAAATAAGTTAAGTGACACTGAAAAAGTTCAGATACACAACAATTTATCTTTGGTCTATTTATCGTGTGTTTTTCGTCTTTTTCTCGTTCTTTCTCATCGTGAACTCGGACAGCCCGACTTGAATGTCCTCCAGACTTCGGTCCTTGGTTTCTATGACGACGGCAAGGGAGAAATATACGCCGTAGAGGCAGCTGACGCAGAATATGGCGTAGTTGACGTAGATGCCTGCGACCTCGCCGAGGTTGAAGTACATCTTGTTGGTGATGAAGGATGTGAGAGAGATGATAGCAGAAGTGACGCCAGAAGCGAGTCCACGGGTGTTGGCTGGGAACATCTCTCCCTGTTGACAAATTATATGCATAAGCTTAGAAATCCGCGTACAAACAACAATACACTTTAACGGATTGATCTAAGTTGTTGCTGGGGAATAGACTTCAGGTATTTGGGACATCTAAAGGTGATCCCAAGACTAGCTAGAAACTGATGTTATTGCTTTTGAAATAAAACTACTTTCCTCCAAGATAAAACAGTGTCTGGTAGTACATGTTTGTTCTCGAGTTGATGAAGACGGTGATGGTGTAGTTGGCGACGTTTTGGATGCAATAAAGCAGTCCACTCTCAAGACACTTCCTAACATTAACATTCCTTCAATGAGAATAGGCTGCGAAATAACTAGTGTCTTGAAAATTGACTGCATCAATTGATCCGAAACGTAGGTATCTGCATAGTCTTTGACTTCATCTAAGCAGTCGTTAAACTAAGACCAAAATTTACCACTTTTTAGGAATTAACATTGCCATTGGAAGGCATAAAGAGTTATATATTGTGAGAAAACAAGTAAACGGTGCAGCAACCAACCAACCTGTATCATACTAGGAATGCATCCCAGACCGATGGGATAGAAGATGCTGAAGATGACGAAGCTGAGCAATGGAAACCAAGTGATGCTCATGGCGTCATAGGAAGTGTTGCTGTCGAGATAGAACCATCCAGCGACCATAGCGTTGCCGAAGGCGCAACCGAGGCAGGACACGGCTAGTAGTATCCGTCGACCTGTCTGGAAATAGCAAAGATATACTTGTAAACTCGAAAAAGTCTAGGAAAAGATTTCGACAAGTTTTAAGAGTTAGATGGTGATCCAGACTATGAATACAAGACTTACCCAGTTAACAAGGAACGTTGAAGCAAACCCGAACACAATCCAGATTAAGCACAAGAACGCGGCGCAGTCGTTGGACGTGAAGCCGCCAGTCTGCGGGATCGCTGCTGAGGCGTACGCCATCACCACGCTGATACCAGACATGCGCTGCAGCACGGCCAGCATCTCAGCTATCAGCAGCGCCTTGCGGTTGCCAGCCGTGGACACCAGGTCCTTCAGACGACCTTTGTTTTGCATGTCAGCGATCACAGCCTTCTCGATCACCGTCAGGTCGTTTTCTATCTAGAAGTTTTAACGTAGATGATTAGTGTAAAGTTCGAACTTGCTCATATCTGATTGATTCTCTTTGATTGACAAAGGACTGATTGATTCTTGGCTAGTGCATTTTATTTAACGCTGCTGGACCAGTTTGATTGATATCAAAGTTTGGCTTTAAGCTGTGAACCTTGGTACGCACTTCACTGGTTGATATGGCTTTCTAAGGCCATTACAAAGTTTTCCCCTTCTGTCACTATTCGTCACGTAGACGTACTACGATTAATGATTTTTCATTTTCACTTTTTTGTACTAAGATGATTTGTTTTGCAAATAACCTACTTTATTTGGTGATTTTGCTTTAGAAAAGCTAATTCCCTAATGCCTCTTTTTTGACCACCTTTCATCGAGTAGAAATTTTTGGATACTTAATTTTTTACTTTTCACTATTTGACCTAGAATTTTGCAAATTACTTACTTCATTTGGTGACTCGGCGCTTCGAAGCCACCTTAGAACCTTTCCAGCACGTTTCCTGTCATTTTTCATCAGGTAGAAATAAGGCGATTCTGGTATGAAGAACAGGAGTAGGAAGAAAACAGCGGGAACACAAGCAGATATGTAGCTAAGCTCAGTGTACGAGACTTTCGGCCCTGGGCATAAAATACGAGTTGGCATTGTTACAATTGAAGAGATTGCATTTGCTTATTGTAGTCGTACGAAGAAAGAGTTTACATGACGTCATGAATTAAAGATGCAGCAAATACATAAAACGATTCTTTGAAGGATGTGTATTAACCAGAAAAACATTAATATTCTCCTCAAGATGAACCAGATATAAAATTATATTTTTGACAAGACAGTCAAACAAGTTGCTTCTATACGTACCTATACAATACTCGAACATGATTCCCATGTAGGCGATCAACATGAAGAGTGTGTTGAGAGCCCCGCGTACTTCTGGTTCTGCTATTTCACACAGGTAGATTGGCAAAACGGTGTAGGCGGTGCCTCCCCACACGCCGCCGAGGAACCTAATGTTGAATAGGTGGTGAGTGTTTGAAATATGTTTGTTCTAAGGTATACACAGATTAGAAGTCTTAGGACGAATTTCACAAAGCCTGTAAAACATTTTACGAGAGATTCTTAAGTAACAGGTTAAATTATTATTAATTTGATGATAAAAGTCAGTCTGTCTTTCGTACGGTTAGTTGCATTTGCATCTTGTGCTCCTTACATAACACGAAATCTGTCAAACAAAATTCTCCTAGTATGCTGTATGCTTAGGGTAGAGTCTATGTATACAACAGAGTCTCTTACCGAGCGATGTAGACACCCGTGGGACTCTTGACAGTGGCGAGTATGATCCATGAGGCCAGGGCGACTGAGGTGAGCATCATGAGGGTGAGGCGACGACCTAGACAGTTCATGAGCCACCCGGCGGCTACGGGACTGACGGTGGAGCCTATGTAGACCACTGCCACCATCCATGAGATTTGGTCTTCAGTCATGAAGACTTCGGAGTCTGGTGTTGTCATGTGTTCCATCGCTGGTGATGGCCAGCCGGAGTACATCCCAATCATGAATAGAGCAATGGTTGCTGAGGAGTGTTAAAATAAGATTAGTAAGTTTTTAAAGTTTCCCATCCGAAATTTATGCTTCACATGGAAACGTAATTAAAACCTAATGAGAAGTGGAAGTTTTTGTAGATGTTCATGTGGTTAACCTGAGTGGACTATGAGAAATGAGACTCATCCTAGATAAGACAATTAGAAGATTAGAATAGATACTTAGTGTTTATACCTAGAAGTTGAGGGCCTACTAGACACGTGCAATCTTAAATGATTCATATGCCTGCGAGTACTGTAGGAAAT